ATGTCATATTTTGAAGGTTAGAAATGGGTATCTGTGTCTTCTGGGGAAAATTACGTTCTAAGCAATACATACGTGATAGCTTCTTTCTTGTGATTAGGAATCAAGCAAATTATAACAGTTGTTGCCCTTCGTAAATTATGGGGAGATGCATGTTATTAATTTGTTCATAATTAACAACAACAAAAAAAAAAGAGTAGTAACAAGATAATTGTCTGTAAAAGAAACACCATTCTGAACCTCAGTCTCTCTGCAAGTCTCTAAGATATTCTAAACGTTATGCTGTTAAGTTTTGTATGTTAAGTGGGTATGCAAACAAAAAGGACCGGGAACTGTAAACTCAAGTATCTCCAGGCTCATTTGCTATATTTCTTGAAGAAAGAGAAAAAAGAAGAAAAATAAAGCACTTGATATCAATAATTAATGGAGAAAGTCTCCCCAATTTGCTGTTTGGACCAGTCAAAGATGATAAGTTTATTAACAGATCATATTAAGAGCAAACAAAATACATGAAAATGTATCTTGAATGCTAGTCAGAGCATTCTTACTAAGTAAGTTCAGTAAAACAAGCCTCTGTTTATCACATTTTTTACTGGTAACATCTTGGAGATGGCGAGCACTCAACTTCAATTTTGTCTTGTAGATCCGTACAAGAAAATCTCTAGTCCTCTTTGTTGATTTTGTACAATTTCATACCTGTATCACCAATTTGGTATTTGTGGAATGACGCAAAAATAGTCTTTACAACACTGTTTTTAAACACATGCAAAAGTGTCATTTCAAATCCTTTCACAGAAATTTACCTACAGGAGATATAACAATAAACTGCACAGTCAGATCATTTAAATTAGCATGGAAACTTTTTCCGATAACATGTACTAATCTGAAAGTAAAAAAGCATTTTCTTTTGGGTCCTGCCAGTACCCTTTTGCTTAGCAAATACATAGCTGATAGACAGAAACAAGCACTTTTCACAGTAAGTGAAAACAGATGCATTACTTAAGAAAGGAATGCAGCTCTTGATTCAGAGTCAGAATCATCTCTTGTGTACTTCAAAATCCAGCACTGTACAATATATTTGTCCTTGCCCATTGTGTGCAGATGGTTTTGGATGATGGCATGTCAGAGTATCTTTTCATATTTGAGATATGAAGTTCAGTACAAGTATGACAATAATTATAACCTTCCATTGGTAATTACTCATCAAAAACTCTAAGCATTCATTCCCGTACATCTTAAAACATCTGATTTTGTTGTGCTTAGAGAAGAAATAAATTCCAAATTGACAAAGGGTTTTTAGCTTCCAGGATAAGACGACAAGGAAAAACAAATCTCAGTTCAGAGTATCCAAAGATAACTGCACCTCTGTCAGCAAAGCGTCCCCCTCCCAGTCTGCTGGGATGGTTCAGGATGAAGTCCTGGTCTTAGGCTTAAATGCTGACTCCTGGCACAGACTTTTATTTTCTAGTCTTTTGATCTGCTGATAAACTACAAATAAATTACCTATATTCCATAGGCTATAATCAATTTGATCATACATTGTTTTCAGATGTTTATAACAGGGAAGACTAAGAAAGTATGACCCGTTTCTTTTACACTATTGCTTTGAAAAGAGTCATATCTCCCGAGTCATAGGATCCAGATTATGTACTAAGAGGTAAATTCAAGTTAGCATTCAGTTATTTCAGTGTCTTAATACCTCAAAAAAATGCAGTTCCTTGAGTAGAAATGCCATGATCCAAATGGTAAAGCTACCATTAATTCAGATAGAAGTTTGTTTAATTGTGGAACTTACAGGAATTGCCTGTCTTCTAGGAATAGCTGAAAACCTGATGTTGTTTTTATATAAAAAAATTTCAAAGTATAATAGCCAACATACATGTCTACATTTAAAATTTCCAGTCTTGTATCTCAGCTGTATGCCAATCTGCTATCCTCTCAAATGAACTAAAAATCTTATTATTGAGAGGTTTGTTCTCCCTGCCCACACGCACATTAAAAAAAAATCTTAAACTTCAATATACAAATTGATCCCAAGGTAGGGAAAGCCA